AAGGCCAAACGGTCGTCTGGTTATTTTTTTAGTTGAATAATTGTATGCGTGGTTTAAATGCTACTTGCGTATGCATATAGGCCTATGCAAATGAAAGGGGGAAGGGAAAAGGGGTCGGCCTATGCAAATAAGGGTGAGGAGGGAAAAGGGTTCGGGCCAGGTAATGTGTAAAGGATCTCTCGGTGCATACATTAACCCTTCAATGGGGGGGAAGAGAGAGAGAGAGAAAAAAAAAACTTGGGTTTCCTTCAAGCTTCTGTTGCTTATATATATTTTATCGGAGACGAGACGGAGTGAGGAAGAGGAGAGAAATAGAGAGAGAAAGAAAGACTTAGGGAAGAATGGAGAGAAAAGGTGAAAAAAGAAATGGAAAGTAAAGTGGAAAGATAGAGAGAAAGGAGACAAGAGAGAGGAGGGGGATGAATGGGCAGAGGGAGGGAGGGAAGGTAGGGACAAGGGATGGGGGGAAAGGAGAGAGGAAGGAAGGAAGGGGAAGTATGCAAATGTGTGATGATGAGGAGAGAGGCGGGGCTGGTGAAAGAACTGGCTGCTCCTGTCAGTTCTTCCCTCACTTCCCTTGTGCAGACACCGTGTCTTGCTCTGTCATAGTGTTGAAGATATTTGTTGATATTGTTGTTTTTCTATGTGCATTTCTTTGTGACAAACTCGTTAATTATTTTGGGGACACGTGGAGTAATTTGAGATTTACCAAATTGTTATTTTGTAAGTATTTTTTGATTTTTTGAATCTTTGGTTTGTTTTGAGAAGTAGTGTTACTTGTAGTGAGAACTGTCTTTGGGTAAAGTTACCATTGCTATGATTTTTTTATAATATTATGAGGCGTCTCCATAGTTCCTCATATACAAATGCGTTCTTATTTTAAATTATAGTGTATTATTTTTCTTATTAACCCATTGACCATGAGTTTATGTATTTTTTTGTGAATTTTGTTTTGTCTTGACGACCAAGGAATCAATGTGTTGGCCCTGCTAACCGCACTGGATTTCACAATTCCTCAAATTTTTGGGAATTGATTTTTCATCTGCTGCTATTGATACTAATGTGATTATTATTATTTCGCATATTATGATTTTTTAAATGGTTTTCAAAAATCAATATCAGAAAAAATAAAATTCTAATTTCTTTCCCCCAAAAAGTCGAGGAATAGGCTAAACATCTGATAGACATAGGACTAATAATTGACTCTTTGGTGATAAAATACTTATGGAACTGTCTCTGTGTAAACATGATTAGTACACTAAAAGTATAGTGGATGTGACATGTATGTCATGCCATTTCTGGTCTCTTAGTTAAGATGTGCCATCCATTTTACTGGCAACCTTTTATGGTTTGTTCTTCTGTATCATAGACTCCCCTGGAGAGGATAGGACATTACCTTTTTGCAAAAGCCTTTGAATATGGTCTGGGAAGAACGTTGCCCAGAATGCCTTTTAGACTGCTGTTTAAATTGTTAGTGTGGATTTTCATATCATTAACTACCTGAAATTTAGCTCACAGATCTTACGTAGAGGGACTCAGTAATGTGTTGTTTATGGTGCACTGCATCTGATCTATGTGTTTGCTTTGATATATTTGAAAAAAAGAGCATGTTAAATCTTTTATCATAAATAAGAACTAGTCATTTACCAGAATTGAACCATAAAGTTTGTGCCTTATGTTTTGGCTAAAGCCCCTACTTGTACATATTCTGAAAATAGAGTTCGGACTAATTCCTTATTTCATGATAAAATCCTAAGCATTTTGCCAGGATTTATTTGGTAAAAGTGTGTGTGTCTTTGCTGAACAATAAAGTTTGGAGGCTACTGCTTGGAAGGTCTTGACCCAGTGACTTTGATAGATTATATATATATATATATTTATTTAGTGAATGATAGTGGCATTACTTTAATTTTCTGTAGAACATTTCTTATACTTGTTTGCTTTTATATTTTAGCATAACCTAAGTTTTTCTCAGTTTTATAGTTCTATTCTGGAGAATTACCCAAATGATTACCTTAAGTAATTTTCTAGAAAAAGTATGTAACCTAAAATCTATTCAGTTTGTTGTTAATCTTTACAATGTTGAAGATGGTATACTTGTGGACAGAAAGTGGAAGAATATTTATTTTTCCCCCAAATATTCTTCCACAGCATATCCCAGGAGCCGCATAGATCGTGGGCTGTATCTTTTGCCATTCTGATAATTCCATTCTGTTACTCCTTGCAGTGAATGAAGTAGTTGCTCATAAATCATATTTATACTTTTAGTTGATGATAAATAACATATCAGGCATCTCCATCTTCTGCTCCATACCTAGAGTTTTGCTGAAATGTATACCAACTTTGACATTTACGAAGTGACTAGATGTGACATTATACCCTTCATAATACTCAGTATTTTGCAAACCGAACTTCCCCCCTCTCCGTAGTAGTACTTTTATTAAAACAATAAATACTAAAAAAACTGCTTCTTGTAAACCACCTTCATATATGGTAAATTCACCCTTCCTGCCAATGTAATGCACATTTTGGTCCACTTTTTTAGGCAAATACATGCTACAGATAGTCAGCATGGCTTGATTGGGCTAAATGTTTAAGCAAGAAAAGATCCAAGTTCATGTACAACCCCAAATAAGTAGTATGATGTCAGACAGACAGTATTTGTATTTTCAGTCCCATTCCCAGAGTTTTATGAGGACATCTATGTTATATCCTAATTGCCTTTTTAATGTAGTTGGAAAGTAGCATTTTCTCTTTGGGAGACATCAGATATGGTTAGCCCTTATGATTGGGATGATGTGACCATCACATCATGAAAAAATGTGGCTTGAGGGATGGGTGACGTGAACATGCCAATATGGGAAAATTTCTGAGAGCAGGGGTGACGGGAACTTGCTGTCATGAGAATTTAGGCTAAAGGCCAGGGTGAAAATAATGACTTGCAGTAAGTGTACAAAGCTCTTAGAGGGTGATTAGACTCATTACGTATTTAGGAAGGGGTCTTTGCATTATTTCTATCAATAAACAAGTGTGGAATGTACCATCTATGAGCCAGGACTGGAAGAGCGCAGGTTTTATGGAGGACACTATTTTCATGCTCGGGATCTTATTCCTTTCTGTCATGACTGTCGATGCAGGTCATATTACAAAAAATCAAATATGAGAAAAAAAATGACACACAACAAAATGTTACTTATTGTTATTATTATTATTGTACTGAGTTATGGATTACCTAGAGAAATGCTATAGAGTCTGTGCAAGGAAAACTGTATCACAAACTGGTTAAAACAAATCAAATGACAAATATAGATATTGAAAAATTGCTTAAAACCTAAAAAGGCTTAAGCAGAAAAAGAGAAAATAACATTACAAAGGGAGGCATGGAGTCTTGGCACAGCACACGAGTGTTTGTGCGTTCCCGGCCATAGCCTTGCAGTTATAGCTAGTGTCTGTTATATGGAGCAGAAAAGGTTTGATGAGTCTGCTTTAGTTTATCAATGTCTTAATTTTGTCAATAATAATTTAGTGTACAGAATACATTAGTTCCAAGAATTAACTACCACCATACTTGCCCTTTCTTAAACTCAAAGGAATTTTTACATTCTCTTAAGATGTCTCAGCTTATATATTCATATTTCAGCTTATATAGATTGGAGAATACTTCAGCTTGTACAGATTGAAAGTGAGAATAAGGTGCCACCTAATTTCTAAATAGTTGTAAGATTTTGATCAAAACAATTTTGCCTTGGCTGCATACACAGAGACAGATTTTTTGTCCATAACTCAACAGTCAGAGATTGGAACAGAAATATAGAGGAGAGGGGCACTCAAAGTCCCTTCAGCAAGGATTTCAATATTGGTACTTCCAAACACTAGTATTTGACAGTGTGAATAATGATTTTTGTCTGGTATATACAGCATTAGTGATGGCTTTGCTATTAATTTATTTTTATGAGATTTTGCTCCATTATTTCATTTATTTCACTACCACAAAAACCATTACCACCACCACAACCCACACCACCACAAGTGAACCACCAACATCAACACCATCATTATCATGATGATGATGATGATGATGATGATCATCATCATCATCATCATCATCATGATAATCATCATTATCACCAGTCACCATCATCACCATCACCAGTCACCACCACCACTATGGATTACTACTACTCTTCATTGCTGTTACTATTAAACACTATTGTTACTATTTATTTTTATTACTGTTTATTGTTATTATTACTGTTTGTTAGTACTATTACTATTTATTAGTATTATTATTATTTATTTGTATTATTACTCTCTATTAGTATTATTACTATTTATTAGTAGTATTACTTTTTATTAGTATTTTTATTTATTAGTATTTCTATTTATTACTATTACCATTTATTTTTAATTGTCTACTATTTATCATTATTATCATTGAGCCGGTAGTGCTACTGTCTTTTATTTTCTCATGTTCATGGTGTTGACGCAAATAGATAAATAGATTAGACAAACCCCTCTCATATTGAGCTGATTCATCTGCTGCCATCATCTTTCTGTAGTCTATTAAAAGGAAAAGTCATTGTTAATTATTTTGAGACTATTGACAGATGAACCAACACAGCCTTCCTAATGTTCTTTTTTGTACAGCCAGGAGGCAAAAAATGTAAGCACTTACATACTGAATCAAATATGACCATGGATCATAGGAATATCTTGATATATATATATATATCTTTCTGTAATTTTTGTTTTCTTTATTAGTAGTATTAGTCATATCTTTATTCTCATCATTTATTAGGAAAGAGGAAGAGGGATAGAGGGAAAGAGGTGGGCTGGTGGAATTCAGATTGAGAGAATAAAAGTTAGTTTTTTCTTTTTTCCATTTTATTCTTTGTTTCTTGCTTTGTTATTTTGTTTCATTGTTCATTTTACTTTCATCTTCTGTTGTACTGTCTATAGCTTTAAAAATAAAAGGTAAATGTAAGCCAAAATATTTTTGTACTTATTATTGATAGAGAATGTCTTTCAGAATGTATATATTGTTTCATATAAATATTTTCTCCTTTTCTTCAGATTATGACATGATAAGGTGAAAAGATGTCTCCCCTGATAGATGTTACAAACACGGCAGTGGGCCTGCAGGTGGAGTCGAGCAGCAAGAGAAGTGTAAGACCACAGAGGGCTTGTGCAAGGGGGCCTGATGTTAACCAGCAAAGCAAGGTCAACAAGAGAGGATTGCCAGAGAGAGTCAAGGGAAAGGATGAAGCTGAGGCAATAAGAAAGTGCAATACTTGGATGGGTGGCCCAGCAGGTGATATGGCTGGGGGTGGAGCAGACTGCCTGGTCGCATTCTCGTCTACCAGCCAATGTCCAGCTGAGGTAGGTCTACCACGTGTCCCTCCACTCCCTCAAGCGGCTGATGCATTGTTGTCACAAGCAGTGCAGGCACTCAGTCTGTCATCTCCCAGTAGCAAGACAAGGACCCGTACACACAGAAGACTCAGCAGACACAGGGCTACAAGCAAGCAGGAACATGAACAAGCTTCAGATAATGTAGTGTTGAGTTGTAGTAATAGTGGTCTTCCAGAGAATTCACAAGAGAGCACTGGCATAACTACCCCAAAGCAGTGTGGAGCGTGTGGACTCGAGTTCACATCCACACCCGTCCTGACACAACATTTGGTCCGGCATGTTTATGATGGGCTATATGCAGCACAGTGGCTAACTCAGGCAATGGGCCTTGTGTCCAACAACAGGCAGTTGGGGGAAGGGCCTAGCCAATCTGTTTCCTCAGAGGACACTGGGGAACACAATGCAAGTCAGGTCCCACAGCAATACAGCCAAACATCTGCCACAGGGCATTGAATTGTGAGAGGGTGTTTTTTCAAAGTAATAGCCATGGTCTGTGGGTGTGTTTGGCCAGTTTGAATCAGGGTTTTCTTTTTACTTTTTTTTATCAGTTTTATATATTCATATTTGGAAGTGAATAACATAATATTTTCTTGGAGGTTGCAATTTCTTTTTACTGACCATGAATTGCAACATTCTACAGAAATTTGTTTTAAATACATTCTGTTTTCTTCATTCCAAGCAAAGGCCAGATACTTGCATTTCTATGTTTAAATGCTAGATGTTACAATTAAGTGCAATACATGAACTACGTAATGTGTTTGTTAAAAGTTACTGAAATGTGTGAAAAAAAAATGCTTTCAGTTTATGATTTTTATCGCTTAACATTGTGTTTATTATTGGTAGTAATGTTGTTTAATTTTTCAGTTGTAACAATAAGACCCCATGTATATCTGTATCCTAGTCTTGATTCAGCTATTTATACTTGTTACTTTTAAAATTGTTAGTAGTTCCTTATCTAATATTTATGTTTTGTGGTGTAAGATATTTTTAACCTCCAGCCACACTCCACCAGCTGTATTTATGAATGGATGCAAAGAGAGAAAAAAAATCATAAAGTATTGTGCTCCATTAAAGTCGTAGCATATGATTTATTCACTGTACACTTGTGAAGTGTGGCTTCAGACTTAAAACCTATTCCTCTGTGTTGCATCGTCAACCCCTTTTCAGTAGACATCAGCAAGATGTTGAAAGACCTTGAACGATGAAATGGTAATTTTATTTTGTGCCAGTCTTACTTTTAGCTGTGGTTTATTTCCTTTTTAATTCACTGCGAGTGAGCCTATACCTTGCATTAGTTGTAAGAGGAGTGGTACTAGGGCACATAACCTGTTTATGGAGAGTGCTGCCACTTGTGTCTTTTTTATTTATTTTTTTAACAGAAAGTTGCAAACGATAATGTTGAATGTTTGTTTTTTATTTTTATTTATTTTTTATTTTTTTATTCTTTTATTATTATTATTTTTTTTTGAGTAGATAGGAGTGAAGCAATATGAGGTGTAGCCAGCATCTGTTGATAGGTATTTTTTCCAGCTATATATCATTCCAAGCTATACAATCCTGTCTACTAGGATTCAGTTGTGTAATTTTATTACACTGGACATAATGTGTTGCAATGTTATATGTTTTACACCCATGATTTGTCTTAACAGGGCTCACAATGATCCTGTTGATTGAAACCAAGCCTTAAATGTTAGCAAGATTGCTCAAATGTGAAAGGTTTGTTAGTAAATAACCAATTGGAAGTACTAACTACTACTGGTATGAATGTGATAGATGGATATGAGTTGTAACTACCATTTCTTATTTATTTACTTCGGGACATGAATTTTTCTTTTTATTTGGCTTGAAAATGTAATGCCAAAGCCACCATTTGGATTCAGTTGTATCCATAGTATGTAAGAAATAGTTTTCTTTTTATAGCAAAATGCATGTTTTTTTTCTTTTACTTTTCTTCTCTCCCACCTGCTCTTTCTCTCGGCTTTAGTTTAGTCTCTTGTGCTTTCATGTTTGTTAGTATGTTATTGGTAGGTACTAACCAAAGAACTAACTTGCATGTTCCCGTCTTGAGAAACCTCAGTTCAGTCTAGTACAAACATTGTGAATCATTTTACTTGTTGCATCAACTTGCTGTTGGATTTCTTTTGAAATTAGACTTTTAAACTTTTGTGTTATCAGTGCAGAAATTGTTTTCATCAACTAAGAAAGAATGAAGAATTAAAAAAACAGGAAAACCATGCTCTTGATGTAGAAATTGTGTATTCAGTAACTGACTGTAATACCAAGTGTGTTCATTAATTTTGACTGTGAAAAGGCCAAGCAATACTGTTGTAAATTCAGTGCTTGATGGAAAATAACTTGCCACTCTGATAGTACAACTTTTAGTAATTCAAACCTCTATAGATGATCCACTGTCACGGGTAATGTAATATGACTGGCCCAACCTCTCTCCTCTCCTCTCACACTTATATTTATATATTGTATATTAGTCCTCTCTGTTTTGCCCATATCAAGTTGTGCTTTCCATTATACCATACCATACCACACAGAATGCTAAGAATTACTGTACATGTGCATGTATGTCTAATAATACCTTTGTTCATTGAGAGAGACAGAGAGAGTGATTAATTAACAACGTCCAGCATGTTATATGTGAACATTCAGTAAATGAATGTATTTTATCCCCTCTATCAATGACTAGAGTTGGCTAGTTAAACGTCACCTTGAACAAGAACTTACAGGTATAAATGAGTGGATACGCAGGAATTTTTAGAATTTAAATTGAATTATGATGTCTTTTGAATGAAAGTTTCTTGTCAAGATAAATATCATCAGCATATGTTATAATAATCAATATTATATCATTTGTGTCAACCGGTACAGACAATGATTGCCTATTCCAGAACGATTAGGTATATTACTATGTTAATCATCAGTTTTATGGTGAATGTTAATTTTTTAGAGGCATTAATTGTTCATCAAGGAAAACCTTGATGAAAGAAAAAACAAGAAGAGCATCATAATAATTTTTTACAAATTGTGTTCAGTGTCTATTTCACATTCGTTGGAAGAATTGTATAAAGCATATTGAGATCCATCATCAAACAGCTCTGTTGTGCTCTGAACTTCATGCATTAATAAACCTCTCCATATTGGTATTTTTCAACACTGACATTAGAGAAGTCAGGTTACTAGTACAAAACTGCCACCTGTTTGTGTATGCACTTTGATTAATAAATTTGTCATTTGTATGGACTATTTAATTTCCTGATGAATCATTTTTTTTTGTCTAAAAGATCCTTGAAGGAGTTTTATACCAATAGTTATACATAGTGTTTCAAAAGCCATGTTCCTTAAGCCCCACTGAGTCAACCTCCCACCAAGTGCTTTGTGCACTCATGACAAAAAGTTCCTGTCACTTGCTACTCCACTACAATTTCCCACGATGAAAGATTCCTATTAGCCACCCTGTTATCACCCCCCCCCCATTGTATGATAAGGCATTCCTGTCACCCACTCTACAGCCATTTTTTTCATGACATTACATCTATATCACCTGGATCCTATGGTTTTAATATCTGAAAAAGATAGTCTGTAGACCAGGGGAAGAAAAAATATCTATTTGCATATTTTTAATTTTTGGTAAAAGCTTGATTTATTATAAACATCCATAAGTAATAAATATTATTTTATCACATGGTAGAAATATGCTAAAAAATAAACCATACTGCAGAATTTTCTTTGATCTTGAAATAATTCTGATATCCTTCCTTGAAAACATTTGTCACTATATATTTCTATATGAGGAAGGGTTTTTTTGTTCTTTAACAATCAAAATAGATTAAATTTTTTAGGAATGTATTCGTCTTTGTTGTACATAATATTGTAAGTAATATTGCCTATATAACATTATGAAAATTTTAAAAGTACAACAGATGAAAAAATATTCTGATATATTATTATTTTGATTTCACAACAGGAATACAAATTCTGACCATAGTGCATCATGTTATGCACTAAAATATATCATTTATATTATACAAACATAACTTTTACATATATATCTTATGAAATATGTCAATGATCTATAGATCTAATCTTTAGTTACTTTACATATATATTGTGCATAATATCCACAGACTTTGTTTGGAGAACTGTACTTCAAAGGCCATTTGGTACAATAAAAGTCAGGATAAAACCTGAAAAAGAGAAAGAAAATTTTCAGCATTCATAACTTATGCAAGTTCCAATGAATTATTAAAGGTCCACAGATAAAACTGTATTTAATATCCATAAAATGATGAAATAATTCATATGCAGCTTTTAAAATATGAAAAAAAAAACATTATAGATACAAAAATGCAATCTAATAATGCTAAATCTGGTATTTATGGTAGTCATCCCTAGATATACATCAACACCTAAATTACAACACTACTGATACACTCTCCATTCCATGAAGTACAGCCATTCTCTGTCTTAGAAATTTAATTAGTGTACAGATCTGCAAGTTACATGCTGTACACAGTTTATGGTTGAAGTAAATACATGTGCTAGACATGAAAGCTAATATAGCACTATGTTAAAGTACGAAAAGAGTAAAAATGAGTAAACGATTAGGATAAAAGGTGTTAAATGTTAAATGTTATAGAGTGCTATACCGTAGTATGATAGGGAAGGGTAAAGATGGGGTGCAAATGGAGTAAATTAAGAAATTAGTAAAGGAGAGGGTTAAGGACATAGGTCAACTGGATGAAATGGAGTGTCTGGCTGGGGAAGCAGTAGGAAAATTATTTAAGGAAAACTGGCAAAAGATATAAAACAATCAATGGGTAATACAGGCAGAGTTGGTTCTTGGTGAAGAAGCAAGAGAAGAATCCGAGGAAGAGGACTGGGAAGGTGGTGAAGTATCAGGAAGAATGTCAGGAGGGGAGGGGAGGGGTCTGGAGAAGGACGCTGTTGCAACAGAGCATATTCATGTGAGCATCCAGGTGGGAGAGATAAAAATAATTGGGAACAAAGAGGGAAAGGTGCACAAGGAGGAAAGGATAAAGTGTGTTGGGAAAGAGTGGGAGGAAGAGGGGTAGGGGGAAATTCATGGGGAGGAGGATGGGTATCAGATGGGAATAGAAATAGGAGTGGGGGGTAGATGAGAGAGCGGAAACATTCTCTTGGGTAATGTCTAGGAAATTGGGGATGTCTTCAAGAGTTTCTGAGGGGAGTTGGGTGGGGAGGTCTGAGAAACAAACGTACTCTTGTGAGAAGGAGAAGAGAGGATAGATGTTTGAGGAGTAGAGAAAGAGGAGGGTGTAGGAGAGGATGTGGTAGGCAAAAATGGGGTGGAAAGTTAGGTTGTCTGGTGTGACAGGGAAAGTGAGAAGGAGGAGGGGTAGGCATTGGAGAATTGGTACAGACTGGAGTATCTGGATTTAGATTTGAAAAGGAATTTGACTGGAGGAGAGGGGAAATAGAGGTAGGATGGTTCAGTGTAGAGGGAAGAGATGCTGGGGAAGAAGATGGGAGGGGAACAGAGCAAAGGACAGTGGGAATAGATAGAATCAAAAAGCTTGTCGATGTGCTTCCTGTCTAGCCTCACACAGAATTTTGAAACAGAGCTGCTACCTCACATTTAAGCTTATAAACAATGCAGCTCCTATAAAATACATTATGGGACCCACCAAAATGGGCATGTACATGTGATTGAGCAGAGCAATTTGAACAGTCATGACCAGGTTGGGCAGACAGAGAGCAGTGGGCTATGGAGCGACAGTGTTTGACTGGGTGGCCAAAACACCAACATTTCTGACATTGACATGGAAGGCGTTGGTATGGTTGAACAGGGCACCTGTCCAACTTAACTTAACTTAGTGGAGAAGTCATATTTACAGAAGCTTATCTTAGAAACATTGGTGTAAGACTTTCACTGTCCATTGCATCATAGTCAACAGTGCAGGCAAGTAGGTTGTTTTCATAGTCTGACCAGATAAAACAATCAGTCGGGGAGACAGAAAAAGTTCTGGTAAAAGTATTAAGAGAGGAGTGATGTTCTGCAGGAATGGGTTTGCCAGTGAGGTCAGTCAGGGTAAATAGTGCATGAGCTTAGGACTCAGATGTAACTATGACAAGACATGAATGATCAGAACGGCTGCAAAAGGAATCTTTGATTAGTTGTTTTTTGAGACATTGTTGGAAGAGAAGAGTATGGTCAGAGTAATGACCTGTTGGAGGAATCACAAAGAATCAATCCCACTTAGCTTGGCCAAAGATAGTACTCGAAAGGTTTACAGAGGTGAAAGCAGTAGAATGACAAGGGCAGAGGAGAACAATACAGAAGAAAAGTAGTAATGAGGGGGGAAGGGACAGACAGTGAAGAAACTTGAGCAGTAGATGGAGTGGGAAATGTTGATAGAGAGGAAGGTTGCATTCTGAAGATTGAATCATGACCTGGGTAGGTAGTTCAGAATGGATAGATTGCCAGTAACAACAGAGGAGGGAATATTAGTATCAGTATGTGGAGCCATTTTCAAAGGAGAGGCAGAGGATAGGAAACCAATAAAATCAAATTTAGATAGGCTAGTTGATGACGGGGTAAGCCTTAATTTCCCTAATAAGGATAAACTCCAGGGTACCCATGTGGGGTAAGGGCATGGTGGTTAACCAAGGGAATACTGTGCCATAGCTCCTGGAGGCCCTTCATGACAAAACCAGCCAGCCTTTCATCCTTTCAGCATGGCTCTTAGGAAGTGGACAGAAGGGGATGAAGAAGAGAAAGAAAAGGGAGAAGAAAAGACCATACAAAATTACTTGGAGCAAGGGCTGAGGTTTGCTTGTTATCTTACATATGGCAAGCTGCTAGAAGTATTTTTTCTAATATGCCATATTTATGAAACTCGGAGTATTTGTAGCCACTCAGAATTTAGAAGGCCCCAAAAACTATTGACCAATCCTGACAAAAACTACTTATTATGAATGAAAAAGAAGTAGTACTGGAAAGAAATCGTCAAGAAAAAAATTTGTAGCTACTAACTAATTGACAATCCTAAAAAACTTATTATATTATCGAAAAAAAGAACAGTAGTAACTGGAAAGTA